CCCAACTGGGGGCCGCCTCCAGCCCAGGGTCCCTGTGGGGACGGACGCCGGCACCGAGCCCTGCTCCGAGCAGCGTGCCCGCCGTCGGTGCGACGCTTGGCTGCAGGAGGGCGAGCGGGGTGCACACCAGTCAGTGGTGGTCCCCAGGGCTGTGAGGAAGGCTCTGGGGACCGCTGGCTTTGCCTTGGGGACGCGGTGAGAGCCAGGCTGGCTCATCCAGGGCCCCGGAGCGAGAGGAACCCGAGCGAGCAGGGCGGCAGCGCGCTGTGCAGCACTCGCTGCCAGCCCTTTGTGTTTGTCGTCTTGGGTGGCTGCTGCTCGGTGCAGGGGAGTGACGCGGGGTCCTGCTGAGCCTCCTGCCTTCCGCTGGGAACCGGCCCTGCGCTGAGGAGCAGGATGAGCAGAGGGAAGCTGCTTAGCTGGGGACATGCTGCTCCCCGGGGGGGCCCGGGGGCACCCACATCACCGGGGCGGGGCGGCCCCCTGCCAGCCCGCTGAAGGCTTGCGGCTGTCTTCTGCGGAGAGCAGATGGTGGAGCAGCTGCTGGCAGCACCGGCTGCGCGCGGCGCGGGGGGTGAGGGTCCGGTCGAAGCACCACAGAAGGAGGGGGATCCATCGCAGAGGAGGGGCAGGGGGTGCTGGGGCGGCGCTGGAGCATGGTGGGGCTGGAGACCGTGCGTTAGAACAGTCCCTGTGGCCTTGGAGGGTCTCCGGTGTGACGGGAGCGGGGATGCCGTCCCGGCTCCGGCACAGCCTCTGTGCCCTTTGATGGTGCCAGGCACGCGGTCCCCAGCCCGCCCTGGCCCTGCCCAGCGGGTGGACGTTGGTTGGGGGTGTGATGGGATTTAGGAGCTGCTGGGAGGCAGCTTGGGCTCGGAGCTGAGGATCCTGAAGGGCCAAACTGGTGTAAGGGCAGCGTCCAGAGGCAGCGAGCACAGAGCATCCTCTGCCTCAGCAAGCCCTCACCGCCCTGCTTCTGGCAGCTTCCCCCCCATCCCCTGCTCGTGTCTGAAACCCCTCTTCAGAGCTATCGTGAAAACTCCCTTTGGGTTGGGGCGCGCTCACTGCGCTGGAAGACGTCGCGCCGGGGTCTGCGGGGCGATGCCAGGGGTCTGGCCGTTCCTCGCCCTCACGCACTCCTCACTCTGCCGACGCTCCCTTGCCGTGGGGCTGGAGCGGGCTGGCGAAGGGGGGTGCCCTCACGCAGCAGAGCCTCGCCGATGCCCCGCCGTGCCGCGTCCGTGCTCGGCCTCGGTGAGGAGCGGCTTTGCCCTTAACAGGGGTCTTCCAAGTTGAGCCTGTTGGCCATCGCCAGGGATGGATAAAATAGTTGGGAGCTGTGATTTCCCCCTCCCTGTCTCCCAGGCATTTGGGAATATAATCTTCTCCAGCTTCCAAGACGTTTTGTGATCTTGACCCGCTGTGACCAGGAAGCCTCCCACTGGGGCGGCTGCTGAAGCCCCGCGTGCTGCCAGGCTGCCGGGCCAGCTGCAGGTTTGCCTCTGCGAATCGCCTGCGGTTTTTGTCCTCAGACGAGGAGCCCTGGACAGACCCTCTCTCTCCGTGAGTATTTCCTGACCTTCGGGGTGTTTCACCAGCCTTAGCAAAGGGAATTGCAGCTTTCTCCCAGGA